GCAAATTTGAAACATCTTTCCCTGAATTTTACATTACAAGCATGGAAAGAAATCCAGAGCATGATTATTTCCAATTATTCTCTCCCAGTTCCATGGTATCTTTCGCCATCTGGATGTGCATATTAGGCTTAGTTATTTTAGAGTCCTATTGGCAAAGTTTAGAAAAATGATCATACACAATAGCAGGGTTTAAATGTATATAATTTTTGAAAGTTCCCCTCATGGTTTTTCTCTCTCTCTTTTTTTTTTTTTTAATTTATTCAAACCTTCTTTTGCCAACTTGATGGTCAAAAGTAAATTTCTGCTTTCTCTTTTTTCATTCTGCTCTAGTTACAACAACAGAGTCTTTATTCTGAAGTTGCACTAGATTGACGCCCTCTGCAAATGGGAGGTTTTTCCTTAACCCAGTATCACAATTTATGTATCAATCTTTTGCCTTCTGCTTTTTTTTTTAGATGATACATCTAATTTTAAGTCTTTCTTTTTCTTTTTATGTGCTGTGCAGCCTACAGAGTGTTTTTTAACTCAGCCTGAAGAAAAACAGGAGATCACTGCAAAAGCAAAGAAGAGAAAGAAGGTATGAATGTCCTAGAATACATGTGGGGCATCGGGTGCTTACGCTATTATGAGATTCACAACCCTGTGACAATGTGGAATCATATGGTCAAAGCTATTGCAGCCTGTTTTAGAGAAGAATAGAAATTCCCACTTTTTTTGACTTCCCTCTGAATACTCATTCCCCGTGTAAACAGAACTGTGGCACTTGCCTACACCTTAGTCAAGGGCTGTCTATGTCTGTACCTAGCTTGCAAATGTTGCTCACTGGAAAAATTGGTGTATTAGAGAAAGATGGATTTTCAGTTGCTGCAGAGTCTTCCCTATTTCCAGCTGCTGTTTTGTTTCCAGAGCCAAGAACTGCCTTCGTTCCCCCTTCTCACCATGGCATAGGTATATAAATAAATGCTCTGTATTGTCCCTCTGGCTACACTCCCTCCTCCTCCTCAACAACAAACCCACGCTGGAGACTAGATGGAGATTGTATGGCACCAAGCAAATTAGTTTTCAGCATGGACTGTAAATACTTGGCTTGCTCGCCGGGCAGAGAGGTGGCTTGTTTATGTTATGTCAAGCTTCTGAATTATCCAGGGAATGAACATAGGGAAGAGTGGGATTTAGCTTTAAAGGCAACCCTGGCAGAAATGACCTTGGTGCTGCTTCCACTGCAGCCAGGGCTCAAGAATCCCACAATAGAAACTGGTGAACCAAATCTAAAAAGAACACCCGATTCTCAGGCAAACAATAGGTGCTTAGTTACACCTTTAGTTTCAGTGGGGATATGCACGTAAGGTGACATATATAGCCTGTCAAAAAATCCATCAGGAAATACTTATCAGGCTGATCTATAGCTCCCAAACAAACTGCTTTCTCCGGAAAAAAAAAAAAAAAAAGGGAAGAAGAAAAAGAAAAAAAAAAGAACTTTGCTTTTAAGCATCTGGAATGAATTGGAAGAAAAATAATAAAACTTCCTGCATGTGGGACATTTCCCCACAGCTCTCCTTGAAGGAAGCGAGTTTGCTCAGGTGTCCTTGCTCTTACTTGCACGGAATTTTTCGCTAGTATCAGGCTTCTCCCCTCAAGAGGACCATAATTTTCCTGAAGGAATCAAGTGGCCCAGGGAATGACGTAATGCTCGTGTGCAATGGCAGGTTACGCTGCGTTACCAAGGAAAAAATAAACCTGATCATTCTGGGTTATTGTCTGCTAAATCAGAGGTCCCCGGGCACGGGTCACTGAAGAGGCTGGGTGTACAGACAGGGCTTGCACGTCTGTGGTGATGCTGTCCTCATGGTGGCTTGCATGTGCCCATGACAGCAAATTCAGCTCAGCTTATGCTGCTGAGAAATCTTTACCTGGCTTTTCACGAGCGAATCTTTTTATCAGTGAGAGCAAGAAGGGCTTTGCATCAAGTGAAGTTACTTTGCAGATCAAAGTTACTGCTGCACTCTTTTTCCTTTCCCTCTGTTTTTGTGAACTTCTTGCTCATTTCCATTGCACTTATTCTGTGAATTTAGTATACCATCTTTCCTTCCAAAGTGGGTAACATTTTTTAGTGTCTTCTAATCAAAATATGGCTATCATACATAATGTTTTGGTTCCTGTTACTAAACTAGAATGAATGTTGGGAAAACATGAATTTTCAAAGTGATACGTTAAGTGAAACGAGAGCAAATACACAAAAAAAACAGCTTTCCATTACATTTGGCAACATTTCAGTTGAGTGCCTAAGATTTTTTTTGTCTTCAAGTTGACAGACCGTCTTGTGAAGGGCTCTGAACTCACTTGTGAAGTCTGCATTCCCGCTAAAGGCATTGGGAATCTTGTCCCATTCTAAGGTCTTTTTTTTCCAGTTAAGCACCTTCTGTATCAAATTGTGGAGGAACATGTATTTATGGTGTCTTTAACTAACCAAACAGTAAAAATGACAGAAATGCCTTTACTTATTTTTAGAAGAAGATTTCTGATATTCTGGAAAAGTCTGCTCCAAAACCTGGTGTCCCTAAAGATCTGCAGGATCTGCTCAGTCAGCATTTTGCCACAAGACGTTCAGTGATTGAAATCGAGGAATTAAAACTGTCAGGTAACTTATCATATCCTAGATAGTTAAAGAATGGTTTCTTTCATTATGCAAGTGAGTTCTTTTGCTGTAGAAGAAAGATTTTTTTAGTACAGGTCTCATGACTTGAACTTATTAAAGGAAATATAGTCTTACACTCTATATTATTTTGCTACTTAAGTGGAGGTGTTGGTTTCAATGGGACAAATATGTGTTTGGGCTTTTTTGTAACTGTAGAAACAAAAAGAACCATTGTCTAAATGCCTACTTTTATTGTAAATATTAGTTACAGGAGTTGGCTTTCCCTATCAAAACGATGATTCCTAAGGACTAGTTTCCACGATACTGAGAAAGACTGCAAAAAGTATCTTATTTCTTGGATAACCTGATTCTGGTGTGTTAATAGAAGGGCTTAGAGGTATAGACAGGGGAATAATGAGAAGTTGAAGGCAATGTGTTTCAGTGGGTGGCATGAAATAAGGTGGTCCAAGTGTAAAGAGAACAATTAGCCATGATTGGGATCCTATGGTTAAAAGTTAGTGATAGCAAAGGCAAAGCAGGGCAGAGTGGGGTTCGCTTCTCTCTTTCGGGGTGTATTAGAGATGAAGGCAACGTTGAACTGATCTGCCTCTTATTCTACAGATAGAGGAATTAATTTTCTAGGCACCATCTATGTCAAGACCCAACTGCCTGTGTATTCCTTTCATACTTCTTGAACTCTTAGTGACCTGTGCCCAAGGCAGCAGCCTTTCAGTGCAGCAGTGCTGCCTTTTTCAATGTCTAAGCTTGTCTTTCTAGATAAGTCCGCTCTTTCTTATAGCTTCTTTCAGACATCCATGATTCTAGGTTGACCTTTGCTTCTTTTAGCCCAGTTCAGCTTTCTTCTTGAATCAGAAAAACCTGGAAGAGCACTGCTTGGATAACTTTCAAATTCTTACGTTAAATATTTCTAGATCTTCAGGGTTGTGTACAAAGAATGCATTGCCTTGGTTTCTTTCTAATAAAAGAGGGCTTCGGACTAGTGAAGTGATCCATTTTTTTCCTTTCTTTCTGTGCCACGAGGTGGAAGCTTGCCTTGGTTTCTTTCTAATAAAAGAGAGCTTAAGACTAGTGATCCATTTTTTCCCTTTCCTTCTGTGCCACGAGGTGGAAGTTCAAGGAACCAATGTGCTTACTGACTGTCAGGAAGCTCCCAGCTGTCATGTTACTCATGTCAAAGCACTGGGCAAAGTAACAAGTAACTACTTAGAGCTGTGTGTTAATGCAGGAGCTCTGGTCTGTGGAGAGCATGGTCACTTGCTAGAGGCCGAAGCTATGCTGTTTTTCACCCTTTCTGGGACTTTTATTTAAGGCTCTTGTTAATACTCCAGTTCTGCTGTGTTGCTGAAAAATAAGTGACAGAAATCCGTGTCCCTTGAAAAAAATAATTTGAATTGTTCAGTCATTAATGACACTTCATGTTTTCAGATCAGCTATAAGAGCTAAATAAGAGCTAAATAAGAGCTAAAAATGATTGGCACTGGATGGAAGGAACTATATAAATCAGCTGCTGATCCTTCATTTGAACACATTCAAACTTCCTTTGGAGCCCTTGTCCCACTGTTTTTAATAAAAATGATCAGGGCAAAACATAAGTTTTTAGGCAGATAGCACCCATTAAATGGAAGACAGAATGACAGAGAACAGCTATCCTCAGGAAACTACATAGGCAGACTACATCTATAAAATACATTTGTCACACTGTCTGTTCCAGAGAGAATCATGAATCAACACAGCGTGCCATCTCCATGTGAACATGAATAACATGATTAAGAAACTTATTTAATTTAGCTAGTTACTGCATGTTATCTCAGGTGTGTATTCTTAAATAACTGATTATTGTAAAATAGGAAATATTTAATCTGTGTCATTAGTAGATGTTTCAGCAAACATCCCATTTCAGAGATGTGCCCTCAGGAGCAGTGCTTCACAAAGAAATAAAACAGATACACTGGAGCCTAGGGAAAAAGTTGTCGATGCTCCAGTAGAGTATATTGTTCCAGCAGCTGAAGGACCATTAAAAAACTAAGGCATGTTTTGAGGCCAGGACCCTCCAAAGTACCTACTTTAGGTACTTTGTTGGCTGTATATGGAGCCTAAAGCTGGGTAGCAGAGGCTGATGTCTCTCTTACAGGTATGTTCTACAGAGTACAAATTGTCCTAGTGACCTACAGATTTCTTCCATGCTAGACTGGAGTAATGGTCTGGCAAGTTGATTATACAGCTTTTGGCTTAAAACCTTTGCTTGATTGTGGCAAAGACATGGGAAAACTTGTGTGGAAGTGTTTGGTTGCACTTGTACAGTTCTGTGTGCAGGGTTTTATGATTTTGTGGTGGGAGAATAGAAAGGAGTTGCAGTTGGGTCGAGAGATGCTGTCTTAATTGACTTACCCAGTTTAAAGCTGCTTGTTCTCTAGAGGTATACCTGAAGGGGATTTAGCAAATGTTAGTTTGTAGAAGATGGATTTTAATATAGGTGTGTGATTTAATCAACATAGGCAGTGATTATCCCACAAAAAATATGTTCTTTCTGATGTTACAAATACATCAACAACTATATTTTCTTCTGCTTTCAGATTCCTGCTTTTTGCCAGCCAATGATCTCACCCACAGTTTTTCTTCATACTTGAAGGAAAGTAAGTTGAAATGTTGGTCAGGATGAGAAGAATTATATGAAAAAAAACATTGAATTGTATGAAAAAAACCTCCAGATACCTCTAATTATGAAACATTTACAACTCTTTAGGGAGTGTTTGGGTTTTTTTGCATCAGGTTTTGTGTTCCTCGTTCTATTTTACTCTGTAACTTCTATTTGCATCAAAATGTTTTGGGGTTTCTTTTAATTGCCTGAGATTCTTTCTAAGTATTTTATGGTTGCTTCATAAGAACGTTCATGTATTATCTTACTGTAACACTCCTGAAACTGTCTACTGGAATTAAGAAAGAACATTTTTATTCTCTTACGTATTTGTGTAGAAGTTCTAGTCTAGTAAATATTTATTTGCAATTGTTTTCCTATTATTCAAATTACTGTATGTGGCAAATGAAGGCACTGAGCTTGTCACCATTCAAAATGCTGAATGCTTATCTAGTTTGTTCAGTTATGTGATGTGTCTGTTTTATTTATATTGGGCTTTACATTTTCCAGTGGCCAAAGGCTAAATTTAGAAGTTTTGCCCCAGATCCAGACCTCATAGGAGACAGCGTGTGTGTTCTTGCTGTTGGCTACCATTCATCATGTACTCTTGTAATTTAAAATCATGGTGTGCATATAAGTAGTATTTTCTCAATGTGCTATATGGGCTTTTTCATTGCAGTCTGTCCTAAATGGGCAAAACTTCGTAAAAACCACAAGGAGACGAAGTCACTGGTGATGCTGGTTATCTGCAGTTCTGCCCTTCGGTCCTTGGAACTCATCAAGTATGTTGATAGCAAACGTTATGTTGAGGTTGGCTGTTGTTCAGGGTTTTGTCTTGGAACCACAGATGGAAAGGCAAAACTGGGACACTATCCTCTACTAGCCAACAAAGTTACTGACTCAAACTGACTATCCCTTTCTGCTTTAAAATGTGTGAGTGGAGTGGGTAATTTCAGACTAAAGTAACATGTAGGAGTTCAGTTGCATGGAAGTGCTATTTTTGTTAAAAAACAAAACTAAAGGGTAGCCAACTTCAGGGAAACATGCAACATGTTCTACTTGGGAACACAATAAGCCCATAAAACATCGTGACCCACCACTAGCAGTTGTGACTGTAGGTCATGATGTTGCTGGCACCAACAGTAACGAGGACATGGCGTTCCAGGACCTCCAGTGACGAGGCTGGTTTCTGGCCTCAATGGCTCAAGATCTGTGTCATTGTTCACAGATGGCTCAGGATGACTTTCCATGCACCGTGTCCTCCTTTTTACCTTCTCTTCTCCTCACTTTCTTCACCTCATTCCAGGAAAACTTGATGACTTTGTTAAATATCATGGTTATCTTTTGTGCCTTGACCGTATTTCCCATGATTATCCCATTATTATTAGCACAAAATGACATGAGTTAGGAAGTTTATACCACAGATAAAAGTGTAGAAACGATAGATGTGCCTGTAGTGTTTAGGACCTGCATGCAGATAATACCATCAGGTGGTTTACATGCTCATTTGGTATTAGTATGTAAATGTTTAGCTTTGCAAAGGAGGAATTTGAAAATCTAGCTTGATGCAAAAAGTATTTAGAAAAAGTCTGTCTTAAATGACATGCAGTAAATAACAGAATGTGTTGTGTCCTGCTGAGTTAGTAAGGATCATGACGCTTTTGGTTATGTGCCGAGGTGTAGAGTCTAACAGCAAGTCAGTTTTTCAGGCAAATGAGTTTTGGTCAACTGAGTTTCTTTCTGTAGTAAAGACTGTGGCAGTGTGTTAGGTGTTCCCAATTGTAACACTGCCTGAAGAGTCTGTAAAAAGTAGATTGCCCACACTTTTCTTTCTCTGCCTGCACACGTGTACTCAGTCATGCTTGCATATCAGTAACAGAGATATTTTTGAATTTAGCAATTAGTCCATACAGAACTTAGTTGTGAAAGTACAGCCAATGACTATTAAGTATTATCTGACACCTTATCTAAACAACATTGCTTCTTAATTATATCTGCTGTTTGGTTTATCCAGTCGTTGGTTTCCCCAAGTAGCAAAAAAGAATGAACATAGCTTTCAAAGCTCAAATAAGGGTCACTGGGGAGCTGTGTCTCAAGCATGCTGAAAAATGCCAGCTAGTCTTGCTTTCCTCCTGTGTGGTCTTAATGCTAGCCCTGATGCCCGTATTTCCTATTTCAATTGTTTTATTGCTAGGTCAATGACAGCATTTAAAGGAGACTGCAGAGTTCTCAAATTGTTTGCAAAACACATAAAGGTAAGAAAGCTACTGGGATCTAAAACTTTTTTTTTTTTTTAGTTTTTTAAACTAAACCCCTTAAGTAGTCTCACAGTGGTTTTGAAGGGGGGATAATAGTGCCTTTCGTTTAGTGTTCCCCTCAGAGCCCACTTTGCAGTTGCGCGCATCTGGCCAAGTGCCATCTCCAAGCTCTCCTGTAACTTTGATGCAATCCCATGCACAGTGTAGATGCCTACATACTGTGTGATAGAGGTATTCCTCATTCTTATGAGGTGGTCTTTCAAGTGGCCTTTGCATGCTTAAACCCAAGAAGCAAACTCTTACCACTGTCTGCAGATGCATATGATAGTGAGATACCTGGATGCTCAAGTCATACCTGTTGGTGAGCACAGGTGATGGCAATATTGGAAGCGATCTTGGCCTTTAATGTAAATACAGTCAAAACACACAAATACCACATGCTTTAATTCACCCTTTTCCAGTGTCTTGGTCTTGAGGCAGATTAACAGCGCTCTTTCCCAGATTTATCAGTCTGAAAGATGAGTTACATTTGCTACTTGATGGTAATTTAGAAGAGAGCTGTATCATCTTGAATTTATTTCCATCCTGGAAATACCCTCTGAGAAGAAATTTTAAACAGTTGTGATTTTACTGTGATTTGTCTTTGTCTCTTAAAAATAGATAAAAGAGCAGATGACTATGTTGGAAAAAGGCGTCTTCCACATTGGAGTGGGAACTCCTGGGAGAATAAAAGCACTAGTGGAGCAAGGTAGGAAAGCAAGGAAGTTTTTTTTTTGGTAGATAACTTACACATGGTTCGAGAAGTGAGATTTCTGTTGCTTTTAATGGCCCTAGGCTGAGTGGAGTCTGTGGATTTGGTGACTAAGATGTGGAGTTTTACTTTTCCACTTCTACTGCGTTGGTCAAAATGAGGTCAAGAGTAAACATTTAATTTCACAATCCCATTAAATTGACATAAATCAATACTATCACTCAAAGACAGAGTAACAGACACACACACAAAGTCTGATTGGCAACTCAGTGAACTGATCCTAATTAAAACTAACACCAAATGCAGCCCGCATGCAAAATTGGGTAATGAGCAGGCAGGGGTGGGGGACTTCCTCTTCTGGCAACAACAGTGATTTATGCTGACTTGTAAGTCATTGCAAAACTCTGCTGTAGGATT